TTCACTTCCAACTTTGAATTTCCAACTGATCGTGATAGAGTCAAATATATTATCAATTTACTAAATAGGTCTGGTTAAAACTATAAGCTGCTTATACAATGTGTAATATTTTCAACTCTCTATATTAGTTAATAACAATATTATTGTTTATAGGTTAGAGTCGGGAGATTAATACCAGAGTTAAAAGCTCCTTTGGCCCAGGACGCGAACTCGTAATTAATTTATCATGATAACTTCTGTTTATCAGGTTTCCACTTGGCCACCACTGCTCTCTCTAGTTGATCAGAGTTATTTTTATTTCATCGTGCGATCTGAACCTAATGAAATATTGTAGGACTAACCTTAAATTTCTCAATATTTGTAAAAGAATGCATTTCTTTTTATTCTTACATGAGCAAATATATTGAGACATCCGTAATACGGAAACGAAAGAAATTTTTGTACATAACGTCTACGACTAACCTTTTTATTTCACTGTTGCTATTTTTATTTATCACTAAATACTCACACCTATATATGTTTACTATACAGATACTACTGTCAGATACAGATATATACTTGCATACGCATATATATACTAAAAAACACCTATATTCTATATAATTATTTTTTTAAAGGAAGGAGATGGTCCGGGGTTGCGGTCATAAAAAGGCTAAATAGTGTTAAAACTATTTTATTGAAAGCCAACGTTTCGACCCGACTTTGCAGGTCTTCATCAGGGAGGTGTGTTCCTCTAGGAGTTTCACTTAGAACATAGAGAAACCTAGAGGAACACACCTCCCTGATGAAGACCTGCAAATAGTTTTACCACTATTTAGCCTTTTTATGACCATCTCCTTCCTTTATAATGCAACGGTCAACTATTAAATATTCAATTATTTTTTTAGTTTCCCCACGTATGGTATATAATTTAAATACATATAAAACCATATAGTTTATTTTTTACACTTTATCGGATAATTGAACTTGATGATAAGATACATTTAACTGCCAAACCTTAGATCGAACATACTTAATTACCCTCTACATATATTCGTAAACATTGAAATAAATTTACTAACAAAAAAAAAAAAAACTCAACTGACTGGTCCGTTGGATGTAATGCATTAAACACGAGGAAACAGTTTAGCGGATCGTCGATACGAAGGCAATTGGTCCTCGGAATCACCGGAAATAAAATACCACCGCCTGCTATATTAGGCAGGGCGGGCAGTATATCACGGCCAGCTCGATAACCGCTCAAAGATGAGACCATTTAAATTAGCCATATAATTGAATAGCCCTCCATCGGGGCAGATAAAGGCCCGGGCAACCCGTCATTACCCCGCCTCGTTAAATTATCGATACGAGCTAATTCGGCAGAATCGATTATATCTTCGATTATTGGCTCTCTTATATCCTTCGCCTCGTTGGCCCATCAGTGACAATAACCGTGCTTCAGTCGGATTATCTCGATCACAGTTATTCATTAAAAGTAATTTTTGAATTTTTTTTTTTTTTCTTTTTTGGAGTCGGAGGTGATCAAATTTTATTTTCATTCAACGATTTAGTGGATTTTCTTTAATGCCTTATGAGTTATTGCTCATAACAAAATTATAAATTCGATTTTATATATTTTATGTTCAAGGTGATTTCTTTGGTATTTTAAAATTGTTTAGGCTAAATTAATATAATCGTCAGAATATATTTTAATATTTATTACATTTGCGAAGACATTTTGTTATATAATTGAATTAATACTTAATTGGACAATATACAATGAACTTTTGATTAATATATATTTAAACATTAGCATCATTATGTAGGTTAGTTATAATACTACAATTTGTTTTTAGATGCGCTTGAAGAAGGCATAACGGCCGAAACGTAGAAAACAAATAAAACTATATAAAATTTTAAATTTATTGTTATGATTAATTAACAAGGTGGCATTCGGCGTGAAACCCTCCCCCCAAAATGGAACTTTATATTTTGATTTCATTGGTCTTTTATGATGGTTTATTTATGAGTTAAATAAACAATCGAAATGTGTATTATTTTTAAATTATACACATATATTTAAACTATTAAATAAATGCAACTACGTGTCTAGAAAAAATATTATTTATAATTGCCACATAAACATTACCTTATATACTTTCAATCTTTTTCTTCCAAAGTATTTACCGGCTAAAATATTTTTGTAACATTCTTGTCGGTGTAATAAAAAAAACTAAAAAAAAAAAACACTATATCCTCCCCAAATAAAATCTATTTTTTACACTTCCTTGTAAAAAATTATAATTTTTAATTATTTATAGAACATTATTGTATAGAAGTTTATGGAACACTAGTGGAACAGATCGCTTTACTTTATCTTGGTGGGGGTACATTTTACCTTGGATCTGAGAATTTAAATTTTGAATGGGTTCCAAAACAACACTGGGGTTGTCATCCATTCCAACTGATACATTCACTGACCGTACTACCGCCATTTAAAATACTGGACACTAAGGACCTGTATTACCTCGCTACTAGTCTCAGAAACCAAGCGCTAAGGAACGACTTGTGAAATTACCAGATGGGAGGAGAATCGAAACTGACAGATGAAGTGAAACGAGCCTTTGTCCGTCGCATTATAAGCTCACTTCTTGGCAGGTGCTGCGATAAATCGAAGCGGTGTAGCCAGCACGACTTTCCAGTACCGATACCTGTACCGTACCATAAATCCCCTTCCAATGGGAGTAGATCTTTCTAATACCGGCTCTGTTGTGGCAGGAGTCTCTGCTTCCAGTTAAACACAGTGCTTTTATGGTTAATCTCTCCTTAGTTATACAATGTTGAAATCGTTTCTCATTCCTAAGCTATTTCGGGATCAGTTTATTGGAGGAATAACTAGATATAGTTAGAGAAATATAACTAATTATAGTCCCGTGTGATTAAAATTAAAACTACCAATATAAAAATTAATTATTTGACAAATTATTTAGTAACGATACACGATGATAAGATCCAAAACATGCAAGTTTCGTTCAATTATAAAAATAATTTTAAAAATCATTAACAGAAACAGTAAAAAAAGGAAACAATTTTTTTTTTTGTTTCATTCTTAGCTGTTTATTTTTTTTTGCTAATTTTGGTCTTCAATTTTTTTCCTAATTAATAAAATATTATATTTACATATTTTTCTAAAAGCCAAGTGTATAATCATTATTTTAAATATTTGTGAACATTGATATTGAGTTATATTTTTAATGACATGATTTTCTTCATTGTTAGTCAGATTTAAAGTTACTAAATGGCTATTTTTTTTATTTTCACTCTACTGAAAAAAACAATCGATGTTAACACTTCAATAATTTCAACAAAAATATTTCATTTAGTATTATAAAAAATAATTGCATTGAGCGCAATGTTGACTTTTCTTACGCCAATATACTTCATGTTTTTTTTTTTTAAATTCTGTTATTGGAATTTACTCAATATACTTCATAATATTTTTTTGTCTTAATTTGTACTGAAAATCGTTCTGAACGGTTAACGCGTCAGCTGTTACGGTACCGAACCGACGTACTCGTATGGTCCTGTTTGAAGTGACATCCGTGTAGGGCTAATTGCCTAGCTTCCTTATACCATCGAAGAAAAAGGGCACGTCCAGGAAGGAAGAGAAAAAAAAAACTAAACAAGAAGAAGTAGAGAAAAAAAACACGAAGAAATGACCACAAACAGCGAGCCGAAGAAGACCGTTTTATAGCCAATTATGAGTGAGTTTGTTATAATTCACACAGTCGCTTTAATTGACATTAATTGTTGATAGTGACTACCTCGCCAATTGTACGGTTACTGTTCTTTGTAACCGTGCCGTTACTGTCGATAATGTTATTTTAATTCCGATCTTCTTTATTCGTATCTCTTAAAAATAACTTTATAAGTTTTGCTGCAGAAATGTATTCGTTTAATTTTAATATAAAATTATCAACATTTCTTGTTAAATATTTTTTTGAAAAATAGGAATCTCTTTTATAATGTTTCTATCTTATAAAAATGAATTGATAAAAAAAAAAAAAATCAAGAAATTGATTTATTCTGATTCATTCAGCCTGATAAATTATTTGCAAAGTTAATGTCGTTTGATATATTTTTTAAATAAAATATAAATTATACTATATAGTTAGTTTACTTAAATTATGAAAGGAACCGATGTAAAATATATTACTGAGACTTCATTATCAGTTATTATAATATAATTTTAATGATTACTTAAAATTGATATCCTTAAGTTTATTTGATACTATTAGTAGCTTTAACTGTAGTTGAGTAAGTCAATAATGTTAAACAAATAAATAAAAATAAACTAAAGAAAAATAGATTTGACACTTATAATTAAATTGGCAGGACTGTAGTAATTTTGATCCACGGATTAATTTATTTCTTAATTTGAATTTAATATTAAACATATATAGATCATCCGGTAGAACAATAACGTAACTCCAAATCATTTAATTTTAAAGGAAATACAAAATAATTAGAATTATTATTATATGAGTAGCAAATTTTAAAAATTTTTACCAGTGTAAAATTCTTCTTTCCATTCAAATTTCCGTTTAATTAAATACGTGTTCCTGACAATTCAACGTTATAAACATTTTTTTTTTTCCAAAATTAAACAGTCGCTTCTTCGTATAGAAATATATCGTAAATATGGCAGAGAAACTACACACTCCCAGACAAGATAAACAAATAGTAATGGAAACACAATACTACCCCTCTTGAAGGGTGGAGGGTTGCCCCTCGAAATGAAGAACCCTATTGAATCGAACAACCCTAAATTGGCGAGAATGGAGTGTTTTATATAGGAAAGTCGTTGGGAAGACACAGTTTAAATCGTTACGACGGTTGAATGGAGGGTGAAAACAACCCCTAGGGGTAAGTGGGCCAAGGAGTGGGGGGAGATAGTATATCAAATCCTCTTTGATAGGGTCAATTACCGAGGGAGGGGTGGAGGGGGAGGGGCCGCAAAGATGGCGCCCGTCCCAGCTGCCTTCGCACCTGGCCCAATCGCCGCTTTATACCTAATTAATTGGCCCTCTGATTGGCTAAACTGTTCCCTATAGCCGCCTCCTATTGGTTAACTACCGCTCCAACGGATTAATAAGCCCTTGTTCGCATTGTCAGTCTGTTTATCTGGGCCCTTACCGGTTCGTTTATCTGAGGACAATAGTCTGAAGCTAATAGACTTTAAGCATTGTCTGTAGGCGGACATTTCGAACTTGATAATGTCATTAGCAAATATAAACCAATGAGGATTAACTAGATAAACGGATTGCTATTGCAGAATGAAAAATGTAAAACTCCTTAAAAAATTACACTGTTTGTTATATTCGAAAATTTAATAAATATTCGATCATTAATTCATGAAACTCAATATTTATTAAAAGTTTGATTGAAAAATAATTAATAATGAAAATAGCCTTAATATTTATGTACACCTATAAATAATAATTAACAGATAGAAAATGTATTTATTTACAAGAGTTGTATAGAGTAAAAATAAAGCAAAATTATTGTAATATGTTATCTATTAACTTGGAGGTAGCATTGGATTAGCAATTTATTATAGGTTTAAAAGATGCATTTTTATGTCGAAATTTCATTATTTTAGTTGAATGTCTGACCTTCTTGATTATTTATTAAATTTAAATTTATTAAATTTAATAGAGTAAGTTCGGTTATTTTTTCTAAAAATAAAATTTTATTATGTTTTTTTGAATTGATTTACAGTTGGAGAAACAGGGGGGCCGGATGAGACTGTAGGAGAACGTGCCAGGCTAGTCCTCAGTGCCGCTTGGAGGCGCCTTTATGGTACTTGTATATTAATTAAATTATTTAAAATGTTTTTGCGTCATGTAAATTAATTAAATATAACAAAATTAATTAATTAGAATCGATTTATGAAAAAATAAATACGAAATGTTCTAAATCCTTTAAATTTAAAACGAAAAATGGTTAGTTTTTTTCATCAAAGTTACAAAAAAATTAATTAATTTAATTATTTTTTCCTGGTAAAGTTAAAATAATGGGTTACTATTTTAAATTATTTAATTATATTTGAATAGGTCATTAATAAATAATTATGGATTCATACTTTACATTTATTTTTTAAACAAGTAATTATTATCTTTATTGCCAAAATAAACAATGTCACATGATTTACAGAAATAATTTTACGGCCGTAGAGAAAGAAAAACAATCCTAAATTTTCTTTGTATATACTTAAAAACTTCTAAGCATAATATCTAATAAATTTTTAAATATAAAGTAATATTAAAATTTGAGATTTATTAGTTTAAATTTTGATGTTTTTTTTTATGAGTTTTAAAAATCTATTTTGAATCTGTTTAGTAAAACTGAAACATTTTTCTCTTTTTTTTTTTTGTAAAATTAAATTACTCTTAATTATTTTTTTCCGCTAGTATTCTACTTTTTTTTAATTTTTCAGAAATGCTAGTTTACTGTCAAAAGATAAATTATTTTTTCTTCAGTAACCATTTCTAAAAAAATCATTAAGTCACCTAGCTGTACAATGAAATGTACTTCGCCTATTTCAATTTTCCATCCATACAAAAGCATACAACTCAACTTTTTAGATTTCGTGCCAAAAAAATGTAAATTGTCAATTTTATCAGAACCTAAAAGTGCATTATCATCTAGAGCTGCTGAATTATCCAGTACTATTATATAGATGGTTTTTAATTTATCTAACACATGTTTAATTTAAATTTAATTAAATTAAAGTGAAGTACACTATGTACACACGGCCATTAACCCGTAATTGAAAAGGGATTGTAACATGTGTGTGGTTAGTGATATTGTTAAGTGTGATGGGGGTTCACTGGTTCAACATCTGGACCCTTATCGAGAGCACCATCGTGATTCCATAGTTGGAGCTTTAGGCGTACTGTTAAATGATTTAGGGAATATCTAGTATTTTCTACATCATCATACAATTCTTTGCCATAATGGTTGCTGTTTTTTAAAATTTAATTGTTATAAAAAATATATATAGAAAATTAATAGACAAATACCAAGGAATTTTGCTCAATACTTCAACCTTCTCAATGTAGCTTTAAGTTATCGCATTTTCTCATGATTCTCCATAACTAACTTATAACCTTTTTATTTTTTTGCAGAACCCAATAACGGAGAACCCCCGAAGCTGAAATGCAACCTAAGGAAGCACAAGCCAAACAGGAAGCCGAGGACTCCTTTCACCACCCAACAGCTCTTGTCTCTCGAGAAGAAGTTCAGAGAAAAGCAGTACTTGAGCATTGCCGAAAGGGCAGAGTTCTCGAGTTCGCTACACCTTACAGAGACCCAGGTAATTACACTAACTGACCTATGTATAAAAAAAGATTACATGAGCTTTGAAGTCAAAAGAGTGTAGCTAAAACGGAGAGGGGATTATTTAAGGAGGGATGCAGTTAATATTGGGTGAAATTAGTCATAATTTCGTTATGAATTCTGTGTTGTATGTGAAAGTTTAAAAAAATAACAACCAGCTGTAGTTGTTACATCTAGCTTTCTTAGAAGACCTAACTTATCCTACTCTTAACGTGAAGAGAGTTGAGGGTATTAAAAATTGTTAACTCTATATATTATGCGAGATGATAGATGAATTTAAACCTAATTTTTTTTTTTTTCGTAAACATCAAATTCGTCTTTACCTGTATGTTGGCACGAACGTGAAATGTTGATTTCCTTTTTAATTAATTAGGTATCCACAATATTTCAGTACATCAGTATGATTACGGATACATTTTTTTTATAAATGTTTGTTAAATATGTGCTATTTTAAATTATACATGGATACAAACTATCATACATTAATATTTATTTGATCATCTCGTTTAATTTTCTTCAAGTTCCAATGTCGTCCTAGAACAATCCTTTATTTTATCACCTGATGGAACAACGACGCAACTGTAAAATTTTTGAATTTTATAATCTTTAATTGTAAGAAAGACATTTTTAATCGAATCGATGATATAGTATTATAAAAGCAAAATTTTGATGTTTTGAAGCGTCTTACTCTGGAAAAAATTTATGTTTATATTTAAAATTATGTTATTTATATAATGATAATTTTCATTATTTTGCCTCTCCTATTAAATTGTATGATTGGCAATTATTTTATTGTTCCACCAGACGAATGAACAATCCCAGATCAAATTTGCAATTAATGCTCCTTTTTCATGCTTGTGAAGAAACCCTTCAAGGAATGGAAAGATATATTGCTATTCCTCAATTACCAAATTACTCTTGTAAGAACAATCCACGCCCTAAAGACAAAGCCATCTTTTCAATAGAGGACCATCAGAACAGAAAGCGGTTGTGAATTTGTCAAAAGTAACAAATTGGAACCGTGACAAGAGAATGGTACTTCTGAGAAGACCGTAGCTCTTTTACGACCCGAGGATGGTCGAAAGGACCCCTAATGGTCTTGAGTGGTGTTTGAACTGTCGGCCATAGAGACCCTTTCCTTTGGAGCACTTTTTAGCATAGCGTCTCTAATTGGTTTAGTGGTCGCACTTACCACATGCTGGGACGGCTCTTTTGTCCACCTCCTCTGGGGCCGTTTTACGACAACATATTTTTTTGTACTTAAAACATCTTTTAATAGATTCCTGAAAAGCTTATTCGGATTTGTCCAAAATAAGAGCGAAGCACAGACATGTTCTCCTTGAATAATAAAAATAACCGATTATTATTACCATTATGACATTGCCACTAGCGGATCCAGGATTTAATTTTGGGGGAGGCTTCAGCCCGAAACCTTTTTTTTTTTCATAAAAATAACGATAATTACTTTGGAAAAACAGGAAGAAACTAACTACCTATATGAAATGGTGTTTAAGTCATTCCTTAAGTACTTTTAAATGTAATTACACGAACAATAATACTTTAAGAGGTATTTTTAAAAACTTTTTCCGCATAAAACATGGTTATATTTTTCCATTTTGGGGGGGGGGGGCTTCAGCCCGAAAGCCCCCCTCCCCCGTAGATCCGCCCGTGGACATTGCCAAATGCGTTGACCATTGTGTTGCCCAAATGCGAGACCAAGACAAGTCTTGGTGCTAGAATCTCACAACAGTCTTTCAGTCATCTATTAGCTTATTACTATAGATATATCCTAATTTTTTAGAGGGGAGAAGCCTAACTAAGCCCGAATGAAAAATTAAAAGAGTTAAATGCAAAAGTATGTTGGTTATACCAATTATTTACATATAGTAACTAAAATTGTCAAATTTCAGTAACTATTTTACCTTAATTTTTATTTAAAAAATCTATTTTTTTTACCAGTTATGGCCTTAGTCTTGTAAAGTGCAAAACCCAACCCGATTTCGGGCAACACTATTACGACATATAATTTTGACAATTATGTCAGGTTTTTATCGATAAAATTTGAAAAATTATTAGATTTAAATATCACTAACTTGTCTGAAAACAAAAAGTAAGTGGGCAGTTGGACGACGCAGATGCATTATTTATGATTTTTCCTTTATAAAGGTCATTTAAAGTAGAGGGGATAGTCTTCGCTATATTATGGAACTTTAAAATACAGAAAACAATAACAAATACAATTATAATTTAATACTACTTCATCGATTTGATCAAACCTGAGGACTTTATCTTTTCCGTTTCGTTTTATAAATTTTTGAGACAGTATTTGTAACATCCCACTTTTGGCTCGTTTTAGTTTAGGAGTCCTGTTAACAATAATAAAGAGACATATAAATTATTTATTTAAATTCACGATTGTATTATTGAATATGTATCAGAACATTAGCTTGCGAAGGCAATACGTGTGATCATTTCAATGGAGGTTCTGTGGCCATAATCTTTTCAGACCCCTTGGAGGGTTGTTAGGGGTGAAGGGTTACGGAAGTGAGGGTTTTAGTGAGATAGGTGTTATATAGTGGAGCTTCATAACTCAAATCCGTATGTCGAAATGTAATGGGCTGATAATGCTAATGTATCTTATCTTTTTGAAGTATATTGGAAGACTAAGAAGTCTGGCAATTAATTTTTACATTATGTTACATTTCATCTGCTATTTTCGATAGTAACTACTTATAGCAGTTGCTGACTACAAAATGTCACCTTTAGCACAAGTAGAATAAATATGAAAAGTTGTTACATGCGACCTTTTTCACTTACAGTAGCGATATGCTTTAAGTCAAGATGGAGTCTGAAAGACGGAATTTAAAATTACTTCTTCTTCTTGAACCAGGTCTTCCTCGAGTTGCCATTGATTTTTGAAAAAGTGAATCAAGTGAACGAAATGGGTCCTTCTTGTTGACTATGTTTTATTTTATTTTTGAGTCTGATAATGCTATCGTTTTTTGCGAGGAAACAGTAGAATCTGTTTTCGGTATCTATGTATCTTATCATTATTATTTTAATTCCAAGTTCCATATAGGTGTAAACTAACGGTATTTTCTTTTTGTTCTTTGCAGGTGAAGATCTGGTTCCAGAACCGGAGAGCGAAGGCGAAGAGGCTGCAGGAGGCGGAGATCGAGAAGCTGAAGATGGCGGCAGTGGCGGCGGCACGGCCGCACCACCCCCTCTACGGCCCAGTCCAGTACTTCGGCCCCGACCAGCTCCTCCCGCACCCCCTGTCAGGTCTCCTCAGGCACCCCCTCGTCAGCCCGCCCCAGAGGTCGCCGCCCCCGCCTCTCTCATAGCTCGTATGCGAGTCCTTCTGTACATAGTCCTCGTCGGTCGTTGTATATTGTCTGTCTCATCTCTCCGCTACAGGGAGGGAACTCAACATCCTCGGCGATTCTTGAAGCAACAGTAAAAGCCATCGTAGAAAAACTTCAAAACGGTTCAAGCATCTTAGAAAATACAAAACATCACCTTCAAGCCAGGTATAGAGGTGTTCGGAAGAGAGTGGAATGGCGATTGTGAATTTTCAATTTGAACAATCTTACCATTATGAAAAAACATAGCAAGTGTAATTGTAAATAAACTACCGTTTTTATTATTATATTTTCACTTGTACGGTTTTTAAGAAGAGGAGAGCAATAAAATATCTTATGAGCGGAGCCATGCATGAGAAGAGGGATGGACACTTCTGCCCAGATCAAAGTCAAATATCTAAATTTTATCAACTTGGTTTCGATGCATCCTTCATTTAAATCACCTGGCTTGAAAAAGTTCTCAATAAAGTTTCATCAACATCTGGGTTACATTCGATTGTACCTTCTTGACATCTTTGATCCATGAGAATGCGAGCGCAACTATCAACAAGTGTCAATGATTAATCACAAGTTATTAAAAAAAAAAATCGAAAATTTTCTCTAAAAGTGCACAATCGAAAAGACATCCGGGATAAAAACTTGTCAATCCGCTAAATCGTGTACATACGATTTTGGTCATTTCTTGTTAAAATTGCATAACTTGTACATGTGAGGCCATATTTTATTTAAGTATTAAGTATTTCTGATAGTCATTTTGTTACTTGTATGTTTTCATATATGTTGTGAAGAAACTAATGTGTTTTTTTTTTTAATATAAAAGTAAACTGTATCGATACTAACCATCAAGATATAGTCAAGAATGTATAGTATTGTGTAACATAGGTGTAGTTTTTTTTTTTAATCTTTTGTGATGATAACATCAATAGTTTTCTAACCTTTGTTTTTAAACACTTAAAGTAATACTGGTTGCCAATGTGCCCCAATGCTAATTTATTAAGATCCATATGTATATAGACAATATGAGAAGTTTTTGTACTTCATTGGTATGTTAAAAGAACCACAAATTGTAGATACTATCGAATGTGTGCAATTTTTTTATCAATATTTCTTACATACTTATACAAAATAATTTGAAAATTGAATCTTGTGCCATTCATCTTTAATTGTAAATCCGAATGCTGTTTTCCTCAAGAGGAATCGTAAAATATTATTGGAAAATACTGCATTGAAGAGAAATCTCTTGTATAGACTGATGCTGATAATTTATTATTTATTCATTTCCCATACTCGAATTTATGTACTTAAACCTATTGTAAATAAATTTTATATTAACGAGCGAGAAAATAACAAAAAAATATATATATAAAATAATAAAAAAAAAATAAATAAAAAAATTGGAGCCAACAGTTCTTCTGTTTCTATGAAGTCAATGTGATTTAGTTATGTTAAATGTATTATTACCTGTAAATATGAAAAAGAGCCTGTATTTAATGATATTTAGTGAGTATTATAAATGCATATAAATATATATATAAATATCGATTGTATAGATAAATGTGAAACGTATTATAAATGTATATTAAAAGCTAATTCATATATAAATGATTTTTTTTTTTTTTACTTTTTATCCATCAAATCCTAGCAAAAAATTACAGTCGAAATTGTACTTTCGATGTGCCCTTACCAGATTAGGAGTTTTGAGTTATATTATTCCATTCTTCATTGATGTTTGCCAGTTTTCTGTCATATAATTTTGATTTGAAAAAAAAAATTAAGCAATAATAATTGCATGAAAATAAATACAAAAAAAAAAAAAATCTAAGTATACAATTGAAAAACATAAGCTTTATTAGGCTAAGAAATGATACACAAAAGTATATTAGCTTAATAAGTGAAAACAATTTTAAGTACCTCAGACCTACGAAATTCCAATTACTTTTTTTATGGTTATTTGTTGTTACAGTAAGTTTATATGTGTAAATATTCAATTCATTCAACTCAGTTTTTATACCATTAGTGAGGTTTTCCTTGACCTAAATACCTTTTAAAATATTTGTCTATCCCTTTCTATCGAAGACTTGCCTGACGCCGATGTCCCACCATATTTCCTTTCAGCACGTCTTTTCATTTTACTTTTCTTCTTCCATGTTTCATTTCTTTCTTACACTTCCGATTCCATGATTATCTACGGTAATCTTTCTGGTGATATTCTTTTAATATGCCCATTCCATCAGAACCTTTTTTTCTTCAATATTTGCGAGAACAATCTTTTTCTATCACTTTCAGGCTACCAAATAAAAACTGTTATTTAGATGTTTTTCGAAGTATCCGATTCGATTGTTTTATAAAAATATTAACTTGAACCGAGATTCCCTCGATGTATAAGGGATTTTTTCAAGCCTTTACCTTGAAGTTATGCTATAAATTAGGAGGTAATTCGATAAAGATCTTAATATATTCCATTAAAATTTTAATACGACTAAATTTTTGAACGAAATAGTTTATGAAAATCAAGTTCATTGATTCTTTACACGTAATCTGAAAATTAATAAAATCCATTCGATGAAAAATCGCCATTACTCATTCCATCAACTTTTCTACATTGTTACTAACAGATATTTAAGATGTAGCAATATTTCTTTAAGAGTATGTAAAATTATAATTAATAAACTGGACTTCATTTAAAAAGTATCCATACTGGATTTTGACGTTTTTCAAATGGCCTCGTCGTTAAAACTGTATTAAGTTTTAACTCGAGCATTATAGAATAGTACAATAAATATAAGAGCTGAATAGAGAATCGTAAAGGGTTTTGGTATGATTTCGGGAAAAAGGAAAAGTACATAGTGTATATTGTATATAGTGCTACAGATAGAAATAGACTTTTATAGACAGGCGGCAAGAAGGTCCAGAACGGAAATAATTAAAAAATAAAGAATTCTTGAACTGATAGAGGTAAAAAGGAACATTATAATAAATATTGAAAATAAAGATTATGCTGATTGTGTCCAGATAGATTACCAAAGATGAATATAGTATGGGATTGGAAGAAAGTAGAAATAAAAAAATCAAAGGTGATATGGAAAGACGCAATGGAAGAATTCCTGGAGGGACATGGAATCTGGGAAGAGCATGTAAGTCCTGGAAAAAAAAGTATGGAAGAATATCTTAAATTTGGAATCTCCAAACTACGGTCGGCGGGTCGGATCTTGTCCGCAAGCACTTCCAATCCGGTCACGCAAAAGTTTCTTTGATTACACGACAACCTTTTTAAAAACTATTTTAAAAATATGAAACTTAATAAAATAACTCAAATACGAGGTTACTACATTTATTGCATTAGTTTTTTCTTTTAGAAAGCTCATTTCACAATTGGAGGGTCATTTGTACAACTTTAAAAGTTTTTTTTCACCTCAAGGCATGACCCGCGGGCACTAGCGGATCCAGGATTTAATTTTTTTTTGGGGGAGAGGGGGAGGGATTCAGCCAGAAAGGTTTTTTTTTTCATAAAAATAAAGATGACTACTTTGGAAACACAGAAAGAAACTAACTACCTATATAGAAATGGCGTTTAAGTAATTCCTAAAGCCCTTTTAAATGTAATTACACGAACAATAATACTTTGAGGGATATTTTTTTTCGATAAAATATGGTTATATTTTTCCATTTTGAGGGGGAGTGCTTCAGCCCGAAAGCCCCCTTCCCCTCCCCCCCCGTAGATCCTCCCTGATCTCAAGTGGCCCGAGTGCCAAAAAGTTTGGGGATCCCTGTCTTGAATGTTATTTAGGTCAAGGAAAACCACAGTAGTGGAAAAGCCATTTTAAAAACTAACATACAGCAAAATGAGTGCTTTAAATATGGTGTTCAGTCATGCCTTAAATTCATTCATCAGTTCAACTAAAATCTTTAAAAAATAACAACATGAAAATAATTTGGCTAATTTTTATCAAGAAAATTACAATTTTTTTTTTTTTTAATGTTATTCTTATATGTTTCCGGCCTTCTTACATTTAAGATCGAACATTCCAGCATCATTATGTTTTGAAATTGTAACAAAAAAAAGTATAAAGTAGAAATCATTTTTAATATTTTGAGAAATATTAACAAATCTAAAAATTAGGATGAAAGAATAAAGTAAAATAAATTCCGCACTAATAATATGTAAAATTAAATTGAAAAATTATTTAGGGTTACAAAAAAAAAGTTTGGCATTTCTAGCACGTTTGACAGTTCTCAGGAAGATGTTGGCAGTGTTAAGTCCGTTCTTTGGATAAATGCTTGGCATTTTAAACCAATAAAATGCTGTGTAAACAAGGGATTATAAAACGTAATATATGAGCGTAAATAATGATTACAATGTTCAGAAAATTCATTATATTAATTAATTTAAAAATAATCATACTTCCCAGAATTATAAGATTATTTTTTGAAGTGAATACTTTTTTAAGCCAATTTTGCACTTTTTTTTGTGGATAGGAAATTAGATTGAGCCGTCAGATCTCCGATGAATAACGTTCTGTCAAAGTCCGCTGGAATCGACTAATTGAAATGTCTTTGCATGAGGATTAAAATATCCCAAAAACTAAAAATCGGACCTGCAATATTGTTAGCAAGGAAAATGTTCATTTCCCATTTCATCAACTTTGTAATGACCTAAAACATTCATAACTGTATTTTAGCACGACACTGGGTAAGTGAGGCGAAAAGGGAAAAATAGTGTCGAAAACCAAATGATAAATAGGTTTATTGAAGATATGGATTAAAATATCTCAGAAACTAAAAATAGAACCTGCGTACTGTAAGTGAGGGATATGTTTAGCATTTTATCCTCCTTATAATGAAATATACTTACTTTCACTTACCTATATATGAAATATATAGTAAGTTTAATATTGCGATCGTGAATATTTTCGAATCTGAGAATGAAATACATGTTTTGAGGTCTCCTGAGTCCAAATTTCGAAGTCCCCCAAAATGTTCTGTGTGTGTGTGTGTGTGTGTGTGTGTGTGTTTACATTGACTACGGCTGCGTAGTGTGCGTAGGCCATATTTTATTTAAGTATTAAGTATTTCTGATAGTCATTTTGTTACTTGTATGTTTTCATATATGTTGTGAAGAAACTAATGTGTTTTTTTTTTAATATAAAAGTAAACTGTATCGATACTAACCATCAAGATATAGTCAAGAATGTATAGTATTGTGTAACATAGGTGTAGTTTTTTTTTTTAATCTTTTGTGATGATAACATCAATAGTTTTCTAACCTTTGTTTTTAAACACTTAAAGTAATACTGGTTGCCAATGTGCCCCAATGCTAATTTATTAAGATCCATATGTATATAGACAATATGAGAAGTTTTTGTACTTCATTGGTATGTTAAAAGAACCACAAATTGTAGATACTATCGAATGTGTGCAATTTTTTTATCAATATTTCTTACATACTTATACAAAATAATTTGAAAATTGAATCTTGTGCCATTCATCTTTAATTGTAAATCCGAATGCTGTTTTCCTCAAGAGGAATCGTAAAATATTATTGGAAAATACTGCATTGAAGAGAAATCTCTTGTATAGACTGATGCTGATAATTTATTATTTATTCATTTCCCATACTCGAATTTATGTACTTAAACCTATTGTAAATAAATTTTATATTAACGAGCGAGAAAATAACAAAAAAATATATATATAAAATAATAAAAAAAAATAAATAAAAAAAATTGGAGCCAACAGTTCTTCTGTTTCTATGAAGTCAATGTGATTTAGTTATGTTAAATGTATTATTACCTGTAAATATGAAAAAGAGCCTGTATTTAATGATATTTAGTGAGTATTATAAATGCATATAAATATATATATAAATATCGATTGTATAGATAAATGTGAAACGTATTATAAATGTATATTAAAAGCTAATTCATATATAAATGATTTTTTTTTTTTACTTTTTATCCATCAAATCCTAGCAAAAAATTACAGTCGAAATTGTACTTTCGATGTGCCCTTACCAGATTAGGAGTTTTGAGTTATATTATTCCATTCTTCATTGATGTTTGCCAGTTTTCTGTCATATAATTTTGATTTGAAAAAAAAAAATAAGCAATAATAATTGCATGAAAATAAATACAAAAAAAAATCTAAGAATACAATTGAAAAACATAAGCTTTATTAGGCTAAGAAATGATACACAAAAGTATATTAGCTTAATAAGTGAAAACAATTTTAAGTACCTCAGACCTACGAAATTCCAATTACTTTTTTTATGGTTATTTGTTGTTACAGTAAGTTTATATGTGTAAATATTCAATTCATTCAACTCAGTTTTTATACCATTAGTGAGGTTTTCCTTGACCTAAATACCTTTTAAAATATTTTTCTATCCCTTTCTATCGAAGACTTGCCTGACGCCCATGCCCCACCATATTTCCTTTCAGCACGTCTTTCCATTTTACTTTACTTCTTCCATGTTTCATTTCTTTCTTACAATTCCGATTCCATGATTATCTACGGTAATCTTTCTGGTGTATTCTTTTATATATGCCCATACCATCAGAACCTTTTTTTCTTCAATATTTGCGAGAACAATATTTTTCTATCACTTTCAGGCTACCAAAAAAACTGTTATTTAGATGTTTTTCGAAGTATCCGATTCGATTGTTTTATAAAAATATTAACTTGAACCGAGATTCCCTCGATGTATAAGGGATTTTTTCAAGCCTTTACCTTGAAGTTATGCTATAAATTAGGAGATAATTCGATAAAGATCTTAATATATTCCATTAAAATTTTAATACAACTAAATTTTTGAACGAAATAGTTTATGAAAATCAAGTTCATTGATCCTTTACACGTAATATGAAAATTAATAAAATCCATTCGATGAAAAATCGCCATTACTCATTCCATGAACTTTACTGCGTTGTTACTAACATATATTTAAGATGTAGCAATATTTCTTTAAGATTATGTGAACCTACAATTAATAAACTGGACTTAATTTAAAAAGTATCCATACTAGATTTTGATGTTTTTCAAATGGCCTCGTCGTTAAAACTGTATTACGTTTTAACTCGAGCATTATAGAATAGTACAATAAATATAGGAGTTGGATAGAGAATCGTAAAGGGTTTTGGTATGATTTCGGAAAAAAAGGAAAAGTACATAGTGTATATTGTATATAGTGCTACAGATAGAAATAGACTTTTACAGACAGACAGCAAGAAAACCCAGAAGAGAAATAATTAAAAAATAAAGAATTCTGGAACTGAGAGAGGTAAAAAGGAACATTATAATAAATATTGAAAATAAAGATTATGCTGATTGTGTCCAGATAGATTACTAAAGATGAGTATAGTATGGGATTGGAAGAAAGTAAAAATAAAAAGATCAAAGGTGATATGGAAAGACGCAATGGAAGAATTCCTGGAGGGACATGGAATCTGGGAAGAGCCAGTAAGTTCTGGAAAAGAAAAGTATGGAAGAATATCTCAAATTTGGAATCTCCAAACTACGGTCGGCGGGTCGGATCTTGTCCGCAAGCACTTCCAATCCGGTCACGCAAAAGTTTCTTTGATTACACGACAACCTTTTTAAAAACTATTTTAAAAATATGAAACTTAGTAAAATAACTCAAACACGAGGTTACTACATTTATTGCATTAGTTTTTTCTTTTAGAATGCTCATTTCACAACTGGAGGGTCATTTATCCAACTTTAAAAGCTTTTTTTTCACCACAACCCATTACCCGCGGGAATCGATGGATATCTCAATGTTGCCAAAAAGTTTAGGCACCCCTGTCTTGAATGATATTTAGGTGAAGGAAAACCACAGAAGTGGAAAAGCCATTTCAAAAACAAACAGCAAAATGAGTGCTTTAAATATGGTGTTCAGTCATGTCTTAAATGCATTAAAAAACCGACAACATGAACGTAATTTGGCTAACTGTTATCAAGAAAAGTACAATTTTTTTTATGTTACATTTCTTTGTTTCCTGCCTTCTTACATTTATGATCTAATATTCCAGCATCATTATGTTTTGAAATTTTCGTAAAAAAAAAAAAAAAAAAGCAGAAAGTAGAAACCATTTCAAAATTTTAAGAAATATTAACAAATCTAAAAATTAGGATAAAAGACTAAAGTAAAATAAATTCCGCACTTATAATATGTAAAATTAAATTGAAAAATTATTTAGGGTTACAAAAAAAAAAGTTTGGCATTTCTAGCACGTTTGACTGTTCTCAGGAAGATGTTGGCAGTGTTAAGTCCGTTCTTTGGATAAATGCTTGGCATTTTAAACCAATAAAATTCTATGTAAACAAGGGATTATAAAACGTAATATATGAGCGTAAATAATGATTACATTGTTCAGAAAATTCATTATGTTATTTAATTTAAAAATAATCATACTTCTCAGAAGTATAAGGTTATTTTTTGAAGTGAATACTTTTTTAAACGAGTTTTGCACTTTTTTTTGTCGATAGTAAATTAGATTGAGTCGTCAGATCTCCGATGAGTAACGCTCTGTCAAAGTCCGCTGGAGTCGACTAATTGAAATGTCTTTGCATGAGGATTAAAATATCCCAAAAACTAAAAATCAGACCTGCAATATTGTTAGCAAGGGAAATGTTCATTTCCCATTTCATCAACTTTGTAATGACCTAAAATATTCATAACTGTATTATGGCACGACACAGGGTAAGTGAGGTGAAAAGGAAAAAATAGTGTCGAAAACCAAATGATAAATAGGTTTATTGAAGATATAGATTAAAATATCTCAGAAACTAAAAATAGAACCTGCGTACTGTAAGTGAGGGATATGTTTAGCATTTTATCCTCCTTATAATGAAATATACTTACTTTCACTTACCTATATATGAAATATATAGTAAGTTTAATATTGCGATCGTGAATATTTTCGAATCTGAGAATGAAATATATGTTTCTGAGTATGAGGTCTCCTGAGTCCAAATTTCGAAGTCCCCCAAAATGTTCTGTGTGTGTGTGTGTGTGGGTTTGTATATGTATGTGAACAGTCTAGCTCTAAAACGAAAAGTCGTACGAAATAGATATTACGTATTTAAGATAGGTATATGCCATAAATGTTACAGCAACTTTTTCTTTAAAACTGGCTGACCGGAAGTGCCACTTTATATTTACGTTGAAACACATTTTTACAATTTTCTCTAAAACGGCTCTAACGATTTTGATTAAACTCAGTGAAGCATTGTATAATTAAGTGGTCTTTAATATCAGTTAATGTCAGAATGACTAACTCTAATTTCAACATTCTCTATTATTAATTTTAGTGATGATTATAGAGGAAAAATATATACCTTTATTCACAGTTCTATATTTCAACAATGCAGTCACCTACTATGGAATCAATTTGCTCACTGTCTGTATAGATATAACTTTTCCGGCTAGAAATATCACTAAAATGACATTACTCAAAAATGTTGAAATTGGAGTTAGTCATTCTTTCAACTGAAAGGCTCAGAGGCTGAAGTTTATAAAACTAGATTTTTGTTGTCCACCGTCGATATGATAAATAGACTTTTTGTAATTTTTATGGTCTTAATGATTTGTTATACGTGAGCTTTAAGATTTAGCTCCGTTTAGAATGCACTTAAACATTTTTATAATAGCCAAACATAGCCAAAAAATAATTTCTATTCAAAGTAGAGGGGTAAATGAAAGTTGTGTATTGCTTGCACCAGATTTTTTAAAATTTATGTTTCATATCAATCTCTCCTTGTTAATGTTTTCACTTCTATCGTGTGGTATATAGCACACACCTTAGTTTTTGTCATATTTTTCTAAACATATTTTAATATTTAATAACATTTTTAGAATTGAATTAAAAAATCATGGATTTAAAATTTTTAAAGCTGAATGTAAGCTAGATATTTGTATTTTAAGTTTTATAGTTAATTAGTTGAGCAATAATTAGAAGCATTGAATTGAATTGAATATGAATGAAGTGATACAATACCTATGTTAATTGGCTATTGACTATTCAATTTGCTCCGGGACATTCGTCTATATTGTCAGTTTACATATACTCAACACAGACGGCGGTAATTTACTAAATTTGCTTTCTTCCATGAAGAGAGGGGGTAAACTTTTGAAATACTAATAACCAACTTTTCTCTGACAATTTTTCTCAATTTTCCTTTTTAAAAATATTGTTATATTATTTTACATTGTTTAAACTTAGGAAGTGAGAAGGTACAGCTCCCCTCTGGCTACAACAATAGTAGGAAAATTGGAATATTTAAAAATTGCATAATTTTATAAGCATAATGAAAGTCCTACAAAGTCATTCTGGTTTACAGAAAAATCTATAGGAAATCTGCATTTCATTAATTTGTCGACCGATTTCATGATTGTTTTAAAAAATGATCAAAAGTATCACTCTAAAAACCATTAAAAATTACTTAAAAAGTTGGAGACCGTCAGGCTGTCAGAAGAAATTGTTTATATTATTTCTATGTGAACGATAATAACATGTTGACAAGAAATTGTGAAAGTATTAACAATATAATAAAAAAACGTCGCAAATTATTTCACAATGGTTTATTATTTCCAAACAATTATACATCTAAAGTATCATTATCTGAATAGTTTCAAAGAAAAATAAATATAAGATGATTGAAAATATTGGACTATACTTTTTTTTCAATCATTAGTAATATGCTAAAAAAATAAGCATTACTTCAGTAACACATTCAAAATTCAAAAACCAAAACAAAGGATATAACCATTGCATTAGAACATATTTAAAAAAAAACTAGAGACCATATCTTTGCTCCTAATTGTCCGATTTTAACAATTTTTTTTTATTTAGGAAATTCTGTAAATTTTTTTGGAATTTAATTTTACCATCCCTCGTAACTTTTTTTCCATCATTTTTCCATCCATAACGTTGAAGCATGTTATATAGATAAATTTAAAGGGCGTCGAGAAAATGACTTTTAGCGAAATTTCATTGAAATCGGCACATTCGTT